TAGCATTGTCATTAGCTCAAAAAGACTCCACGTTAAAAGGCAAAGAAAAAAGGCTATCAAATCATTAGAGGAAAGAAATCGCGAGCTGAATGAAGAGCTCAGGCAACTTAAGGAACAAATGGCATAGTGTGCAACTGTGAACAAGCTCTAGCACGACGATAATAGTGCTAGTAACGTCGGTGATGCTTCCAAGGACCATCTGAATGCCTTGGAAGAAAGATTAAGAGCTATGGAAGGTCACAGTTTTGACATCTAAGAAGCTGCGAAGATGTGCTTGTTGTAGGATATCCAATTCCCGGCCAAGTTCAAAAGTCCCGACTTCCAAAAGTACATCGGATCTAGTTGTCCTAAAAGACATCTGGCGATGTACTGCAGGAAGATGGTCGCCCACATAAGCAACGAGAAACTCCTGATACATTGTTTTCAAGAAAGCTTACCGGACACGACCCTCAATTGGTATATGCAATTGGTATATGCAATTGGAGGGAGGGAAGATTCAGACGTGGAAGCAACTCGTCGATGCTTTTCTTCAACGTTACAAGTATGACATCGACCTTATCCCCAACATATTTGACTTGCAACGGTTGAGTAAGAAAGGGGATAAGCATTTCAAAGCTTAAGCGTAGAGGAGGATAGAGCTGGTCGCACAAGTAGAACCCTCGCTCTGTGATAAGGAGATGGTGACAATGTTCATCAACTCCTTAAGCGGGTCCTATTATGATAAAATGATAGGGAACACTTTGACCCTATTCGCCGATATAGTCATCATAGGCAAAAGGGTCGAACAAGGCTTAAAGAGAGGGAGAATAGGGAAGGCATGAACTACGACTCCAAGAAATCTTATGGGAAGAAAAAGGAAGAGGGGGTCAATGATGTCACTATAGCGATCGATCTCCCAAAGAATCAAGGCACGCTACAAACTGAGCCACAGAAGGAGAAGGCGGTGGACAAAATTCCTACCACGTACGCGGAGCTACTACCTCAACTCTTAGAAGCCTCGATGCTGGTGCAACTTCCACCACTGAAAAAATTCAACCCTCCCTACCCTGTGTGGTACACTCCTGAGGACTGTTGTGATTATCATTTCGATTCCGTAGGATATTCAGTGGAGCGGTGCAACGCCTTATTACAGGTTCGCGTACAGGGGCTTATAAATGCCAGGTGGTTAAAATTTGACGCCAACACACACAATATCAACATGCAACCATTCCCTAAGCATCAAGAGTAATGGCCATGAGGTGGTGCTATTGAAAGGCTGCCATAATAGGGGTTCCTTTCACAACAAGAAATTTTGAAATTACAAACGACCAAAATCCATGGATAATCCAAAAAATTTGTGGGAAACATTTCATTTCCAACGGATTACAAACGGACAATAATCTATGGGTAAATTGCTCGTCTGAAACATTTACCAACGGATTATAATCTGTGGATAACTTTCCGACAGAATTACCACGGATTTTATCCGTGGGTAATTAACCATGGATTTACCGACGGATTATAATTCGTGGGTAACTTTTCGACGAAATTACCCACGATAATTACCCACAGATAAAATTTGTGGGTATTGTTGATAATATTTTTAAAAAGTTATTTCAAAATTATATTAAATAACATCCTAATTTAGTGTAACATCCCTCATATCTGACCTTTCAACAACTCCACTTGTGACACCCTCTACCCCAATATACATATTCAGTAATTATCTAAAAATGCTTTAATTAAAATCTTTCATAAATAAAACCAAATTCTCAAATATCTTACGTAGAGGATTCACATTCATAAACTCATAAACAATATTTTCAACACGGAAATTACAAAGAAATAAAACTGAGTTTTCGAATAGTTTAATGGAAATAGCATCCTAAACTAAGCCTAGTTATGCCCCGATGTCACATATCCTATCAGAGCATGCCCAACTGAAGCCTAAGCCTCACCACCAACACCCTCATGCTGATGATCACCTGCAACACAATTTAAACACAGACAAATAACAACAAGGGAGTGAGAAACATCTCACTCGGTTTCAGATGTAGAAATAACAGTTAAGTAACACACACACAAATCATACAATGGCGGTCATAACTACTCATTAATCAGATGAAAATTCAATTTTTACATATAATACTTACACAGTCATTCATCATGCAAATTCAAGCTAAAGGTGCTTGGGGACCTCAAATACTTCCTTGGTTTAGAGATAACTAGAAATAAAAAGGGAATCAATCTCTGTCAACGAAAGTATGTTTTGCAACTTCTTTTCGACACTTGTTATTTAGCCTCCAAACCAACTGTACTACCAATGGATCCAAATACCATCCTCACTGCTGAAGCAGGCGATCTCACTACTAGAAAAATTAAAATTAGAGAGGGAAAAAATCCGTCACTAAACTTCAAAAAATCCGTCACAAATAAGTTAGTGACGGAATTTGTGACGGAAATGATTCCGTCACAAAATTTGGCGTCACAAAATATTTAGTGACGGATTATTTTCTCCGTCACAATTAGTGACGGAATTAAGGCGTCACAAACAATATAATTTCCGTCACTAATTTGTAACAATAAATGTTTAGAAATTAATAAAAATCCGTCGCAATTTGTGAGGGATTAAATCCCTCGCAATTTGTGAGGGATTAAATCC